GAACATGGAACTGCTCCCCGTGGAGTCTCACATCCTACTGATTCACTGTTCCTTCTCACTCCTCTCACGCATAGCGCTGGGTTAGAGTTTCTCAAAATGTGGGCAAAACCAGGCATGTACTTTTAAAAGTAACGTTCAAAACCCTCTACGATCCAACCCCAAGCTAAACTCCCCCAACCACTTCTTCACCCCAGAGAAGTGAACTTCTATTCATTTCCTAGCTATAGCCTGTTCCTTCTAGCACTGAAGAGTTAATCCATGCTATTTTCTTTCTCTCGAATTGCATCCCTCCAAATTTTCTTGCCCGGTCCCATCCTTCTTCCTTAAAGACCTAGATAAAATGAGACTATATAAAGATCCTTAAAGACAGGCTACAAACTAACTGACCTTTGCACTTCCTAACGTGCTCAAAACATTGCCTTATTCACTGAGAAGGTGCTTAATAAATATTTGCTGAATGAATGAGTAAATTCATAGAAAATTGTAAAGATCTGTAGTAAGATATTTTGTAGAAGAGAACGTCTACAAAATGTTATTTTAAAGAGCAGATGAAAGTAACGGTCAAATCAACAGTAAAAGTTTAAAGAAAAAACTTAAGTCAATACGTGTCCTTATAGAAAGCCGTCATTCTGAAATTTTTAATGGTACCTGGACAGAATCCATGTCTACCTACCTGCTGCTGAAATTTAACCATATTCATCAGTTGCTGAGCGCCAGGTGACAACTTTGACCCCATGGCCTCCATGAGAGTTTGGACCCTCTGCAGGTCTATCCTTGATCCTAGAGCAGGAGAGCTGGTTGAAGAATTTGTTGAAACCCGCCTCAATTGTACCACAATTTTACTGATGAACACACACTGCTTTTCACCAAAGGAGAGCAACTATTATAAAACAAAGAAGTTCCGGAAAATAATAATATTAAACAGTAATCACTATTTAAGGTCACTTTTCTATATAAGCTAGCAATAATGTATTTAGGAAAATAAACTTTAAATACATGTTCATTTTTAAGCTTTCCTGAAAACTGTTAACGATCCGCACTTCTAATTTACCACAAGGCTCGTAAGAACGATTTACAAAAAGAATACCATTTCAAACTGAATAAATACACAGAATACACAAAGGGGCTACGATAAGATTTCATTCACTTAAACTAATGAATAAAAATAAACTATACCCATCTGACAACGTAACACAGCACAGCTGTAATAGTATTTAATACAAAAGAAGGCTTCACAAAAGTCTTTACTGAAATACGAAAACTAAGTCAGTCCTTTAGAACTGAGAATTTTAAGAGAAAGTTAGATATGGTCTAACATAACCTACTGGTTCACACACAAAAAGATGAGGTCAGGGGTGATTTCCCGACTTGTCAGAGGATTACCAAATTGGTAAAAGTCAAGCTTGGAACCTAGCCCTCTGGCTTCTATAGCAGCATCCTGCCCACGGCTTTAGGCTGCCTTATGTCATCCATGTTTCTGAACCAAAAGACATTTCTTGTGTGATATGGACAACGAAGTAGCAAAGTAGGAAGGGACCACGATTTAGAATCAGACAGAGTCAGTGATGACTCCACTTAGAGCCTGTGTGACCCCGGGAAAAAGGCAACAACCTGAGTCGGGAATAAAATGAGGGAGGGTAAAAACAACGATTTTACACGGTTGTTAGGAGGATTAGGTGTTCAAATTCCCAGTACCTACCACTGGGAGTAAGTGCTCAAAAAGATGGGTCCGTGACTTTCAACTTTCATATACTACTGCCCCAGAACAACCTTTAGTAGGCCTGGGATTTCTCTAATGAGATAACTCTTAGCAGTCCCATAGAACTTCCACAGAATAGGTAACAAAAAACACTTACCTGCAGAGACACATACAAAACCATATGTGACGTGACAACACAGGTCAAGAACCCATAATCCAAGAACTCTGAGCGTGGCACCAAAGAGGTGACTGTCCTCAACAATTAAGGAACCTCCGCATTAAATTTACACACCTACCTTCTAACCTCCCTGCTACCCCCCTCTGCTTTTTCATCCCCATTGCTCCACCACTGAATATGGGACATATTTTACTCATTGAGTCAGCTTATAATCTATTTCATCACACTAGAATGTCAGCAACATGAGGGCAGTCATTCACTATGTTACTGCTAATTCCTACATGCCTAGTTACAGTATCTAGCATCAGTAGGCATTCAAATTCTGTTGAATGCATGAAACACTTCATTTAAATAAATCTGGAAGCTACTGATATATACT